AGTTCAGAAACTTCAAGTGCCAGGCGATTTCCCCTTATTTTTTTTCTAAATTCTAAGTCCTCATAAACATTGTGATGGAGGACGCTGCAATTTGGAAATTTGGGGAAGAGTACAGGTGGTCCTTGACTTACGACCACAATTGAGTCAAATTTTCTGTTGATAAGTGAAACATTTGTGAAGTGAGTTTTGCCCCATTTTAAGGACCTTTTTTTGCCTCAGTTGTTAAGGAAATTGCTGCAGTTGATAAGTTAGTAACCTGGTTGTTAAGTGAATCTGGCTTCCCCATTGACTTTCCTTGTCAGAAGGTCACAAAAGGTGATCACATGTTCTTGGGACACAGCAGCGGTAAAAAATAAGAATCGGTTGCCAAGCAACTGAATTTTGATGACATGAACATGGGGTCATAACTGTGAAAAATGGTCATAAGTTACATTTTTCAGTGCCATTGTAATTTTGAATGCTCACTAAACAAACTGTTGTGAGTCAAAACTACCTGTATGTCCGTCTGGTCAGAACCTGCCTCCAAATTACTTGGGTGGAAATTAGCATCCTGTAGGGATTAAAGGGATTGGCAAAGAATCTATAAAAGAAGAGTAGACAGAGCTAGGGGGCAGAGTTAAACTAGTCACTAGCCTAGAATCGTTATGTTCCCATAAATGTTTAAGTCAAATCTCTCTTGAACTCCTTTGAACCTTATCCGGTGCCAATTTAGTATTGAACATTAGTTGACTAGTTTCTCATGTATACCAATAAATCTTTCCAACCTGCAACATATTGTCTGACTCCTTGTGCCTAAGAAAACCACCCATTTCTAATAACTGGCTATTTTGGGACTGGCAAAGCTCTTTTACGACTGATTTTATGAGAGCATCTGCAACACTTTGGTATCAAATAATAGCCACACTGTCTGGTCTCTTGTAAACAACTCAGAGAAAACTCATGACTCATAGAAAAAGGAAATGAAGAAATTGCCGGCATGGCAATTGGTCTCCAACTTTGCAGAAACTTGGAACAAAAGACTGGAAATTTTAAAAGGACAAAGTGCTGAGTTAGTAGTAGTAATTAAATGCCATAATGCATGCATTAATACAAGGCAGGGGAAGTTGTTAATTAATTCAGGCAACATTGCATCCAGGTAGACTATGACAGGTTGCAAAAGTGCAGAAAAGGGGCAGGAAGTGTCTATGTAAAATAGGATTAACGATTTCTTCCTTTCTCCTTCAATTTCTGTTGCTTTCTTTCTTTTGTCTGTGAAAAGTATATTTTAAAATAAACGCCTTCATATATGTGAAAACTCTTAACTCTTCCTTTTTTACATAACACATCCTTTAATTTTCAAATGGATTTAAATACCTAATTGCTTGAGCCCAGGGTCAAGCAAGTGCAGATAAATTAATTTTTGATTTCACTTGAATTGTATGTATCCTGCGCCAATCCCCCAGAGAAATCAGCAAAGAGAATCATCCAAATGTAATCAAGTTTTCAAAAGATGTGAACAATAAGGTGTTTAAACGGCCAGTGGATCCCTTGTAGAAATCATTGTGTAGAATTCTGCATAACCTATATCAAATTTGGATTGTTAAAATAACATATCATCCAATGGATGGATTTCCATTTCAATATTTTATATTTTCCTAGGGAATCAGTTGACCTGTTGATGGTTTGCAAAAAATGCAGGCTGAAAGATGAGAAGCCTGAGCTGGCATTTTGGAACAGAAGAAAACCTGATTTTTTTTTTCTCTTCATCTGCACAAAACAAACAAGCGAAAAGGCCACTATGAAATGTTATTTAGCCCATAGGGAAAATTTACAAGTATTATTTACAGGGTTCCCCCTTAAAGTTTTCCTAGGTGGGCTAAGTAGCAATTGAGCCCAACATTTCTGTCACTAAGCAAGACTGTTGTTAGATGAGTTTTGCCCCATTTTATGACCTTTCTGCAATGGTCGTTAAGTGAACCACTGCAGCTAAAACAACATGGTTGTTCAGTGAATCGGGCTTCCCGCTGACTTTGCTCATCATAAGATCGAAAAGGGGATAACACAATATCACGAAACTGGAAGCCTTATAAACACGTGCCAGCTGGAAGCATCTAAATTTTGATCATGTGGGCAGTGGGAATACTTCAATGGTCCTAAGTGTGAAAAATGGCTTTTTTTAAAGGCCGTGGTAACTTCGAGCAGTTACTACACAAATGTTGAAAGTTGAGGACTATCTGTACAGGACTAGCTGACTTACAACAATTCATTTAGTGGCCATTTGAAGTTACAACGGCACTCAAAAATGTGACTTATGACCATTTTTTCCCAGTTACGAGCTCTGCAACCTCCCCATAATCATGTGATCAAAATTCAGGTGCTTGGCAGTTGGTTCATACTTAGGACCGTTGCTGTGTCCCAAGGTCATCTGATCTCCTTTTGCGACCTTCTCACGAGCAAAGCCACCGGAGAAGCCAGATTCACTCAACAACCAGGTTACCAACTTATCCACTGCAGTGATTCACTTTACAATGGTGGCAAGAAAGATCGTAAAAGGGCCAAAACAATAGAAATTTTGGGCTCAGTTGTGGTTGTAAGTCAGGACTACCTGTGTGGCGTAACAAGATCTTGCAACCCAAATGGGGTGGTTGCAAGGGTTACTTCTTAAACCCCGTAAGATCTCTTCATCTTGCAAGATATGCATCTAGATCTATTGTGGCTTCCTCTCTTCAAGAATACCTCTGGTTTGACAAGGCCTTCTGTTGTGTGGAGGGGTGTCAATCATCGCTGGCATCCTGCCATCAACAGGAGGAGAGAGTGGGAAGAAGAACACCTGGGCAATAAAGCTGCATGATGGGAAACTGGGAGGTGAGATTGACAGCTGAGGACAAACAGAGCGTTTTGGAAGCCTGCGTCTTCAAGGCCACATACCCCCGAGAATGGAATTTCACCAGCCTGAACATCTTCAGGGGTTCTCAAAACATCTTGATGGTGCCAGATTGGCTACACATGGATAGACTATGGTGGGGGGAGGGGGCTGGAGGCAACCAAGGGGTTAGTTTTGTACTGATGCGCAGCAACTTCAGATTCCGCCCGACTCTACTGCAATCAGCATCTCTTAGTAAATGTACCTTTTCGGTCCCATCATATGTAGTCGAGGGTTTTACTTTCCTAGGAGATCAGACTGGGGCAGGTCTGACAGTTTTAGCCCAAACCAGCTCGGTTGTGATGTTTTCTGTGGTCATTTATGCACTGCTTTTAGAATGTAAGTGCATTTGTGTTCTTTTCAGAACTGTGCAGAATCCACGGAGAACCGAGACATCGGGATGCATAGTAATGATGACCTCAGCTCTCCAAAAGAGATTAAAAAAACAACAATAACCTCCGAACAGAAGAAGGGACGAAAATGAAACCTGCCCATCTCTTCAGAGAGAGAGAGAGAGAGAGAGAGACAGACAGACGGGGCCCTGCCATCATTTACATTTGCAGGTATTTAAATCTCCAGGTACGCGGCTTCTGCCCTGATTCATAATCAATGAGGAGCAAAGACACATCCTGGAAAAAAGCCACGTCGAGCAATTCTTCCATGCGGGAATAGGTACGTTCTCACGCTCGAAGGAACATGAGAAATTTCGTTTGACTTTCTCTCTTCTCCTTTCTCTTAGCAAAAATGTCAGACTCGAGGCCCCTTATACAGATATCCTCAACTTACAACTAGTGGTGGGATTTAATTTTTTTACTACCAGTTCTGTGGGCGTAGCTTGGTGGGTGTGGCAGGGGAAGGTTACTGCAAAATCCCACTCCCTCCGCACCCTACTAACCTGCTTTCCAGCTCCATTCTCCTGTGCATGGCAACCAAAGAAGACCCAGCCAATCAGCTGAGACTCGGGAGGCGGAGAATAGGTGGGGGCGCGGCCAGTCAGAGGTGGTATTGGGTGGTTCTCCAAACTACTCAAAATTTCTGCTACCGGTTCTCCAGAACCAGTCAGAACCTGCTGAATACCCACCTCTGCTTGTGGACTTCAACTCCCAGAATTCCTCAGCAAGCTTTGCTGAGTGAGACAATAGCTAAGTTGAGTTTTGCCTCACTTGATGATCGTTCTTGTCCCAATGTTAAGTGAATCACTGCAGTTGTTCAGTTACTAACACGGTTGTTAAGTGAATCGGACTCCCTCATTGACTTTGCTGGTCAGAAGGTCGCAAAAGTGGATCACGTGACCCCCGAGACAGGGCAATCATCATAAGTACAGGTACTCCTCTACTTACAACAGGTCATTTAGTGATGGTTCAAAGTTACGACAGAACTGAAAAAAGTTGACTTATGACCATTTCTGTCCTATTTTTCATACCTCCGGCCATTGCAGCATCCCGAGGGTCACGTGATCAAAATTCAGATGCTTGGCCACTGACTCGTAGTTACAACCGTTGTACTGTCCCGGGGTCATGTGATCCCCTTTTGCGACCTTATTGACAAGCCAAGTCAATGGAGGAAGCCAGATTCACCTAACCACCGAGTTACTAATTTAACAACTGCAGTGGTTCGCTTAACAACCATGGCAAGAAAGGTCGTAAAATGGGGCAAAACTCACTTAACAGAAGCTTCACTTAGCAACACAAACGTTGGGCTCAGTTGTGGCCATAAGTCGAGGACTAGCTGTAGAAACCAGTTGCCAAGGGTCTGAATTTTAACCACATGACCACGGAGATGATGCAACGGTCATAAGTATGAAAAAAGGTCACTGTTTTCAGTGCCACTGTAATTTTGAACGGTCAGTAAACGATCGGGTATAAGTCAAGGATAATCTGTATTGGTCTTCTGGAAAACAGAGCCTTTTTCAGAGGCTTCTTAGGATCTGACACAATGTATTATTCTGGGGTGTTTTAATTTATCTGTAAGATTTTTGTTTGATTATTGCGCTTGGCTTATTATTGTGCTCCTTCTAAGTGTCTCCTAGGAGGGCAGAGGGGGTAAGGAAACGGATTAACGAATAAATATTTAGGTAAGAAATTCTTTCGCCACCTACCGTTGGACTTTTCACTATCTGCAGGCTTCATCTGAATGGGATGATGCATCTAGAAACAACAGACAACGAAGAGGGAAAGAGAAAGCAAAGCGGGTTGAAATCACCTCAAATCAAGCACATTTCAAGTTCTCCATCCAGCCACCCCTAAATGTTCTATAGGCACCTTTAGTTCCCATTTGGTGGAACGATACAGGTGAGTTTAAAAGTTGCAGCTGTGTTGCAGAAGATGGCCCTTGATCGAACTCAATGTTTCTCAACTTTGGCAAATTGAAGATGCGTGGACTTCAACTCCTTTTTTTAATTTATTTATTAGATTTGTCAATTGCTTACAAGATAATAGGTATAAGTAAAAACATAGTTATGAATACATGGATACATATAAGAAAAATAAAAGAAATAAAAGAAACAATAGGACAGGGACGGTAGGCACGTTGGTGCGCTTATGCATGCCCCCTACAGACCTCTTAGGAAAGGGGTAAGGTCAATAGTAGACAGTCTAAGGTTAAAGTTTTTGGGGTTTGGGGAAGAAACCACAGAGTCAGGTAGAGCATTCTCTGGGAGTCGAAGTCTCCACATCTTCACCTTGCCAAAGTTGAGAAACACGGATCTCACCCACCATTTCCTAAATATATCAACAGCAGACCCGTTCCAAACATTCCCTTTTAACCTGCCTTAAATCTTTTGCCTGTCATTATAAGGTAAAATGGCTTTGCGTGGACAGAGAGATCCGATTTATTTTACAGCGTTTGTAGCCAGCTCAAAGACAGCGAGCAGGTCATAATGTGGGGAAAGTAGAACAGCGACAAGAGGAGTGAATCAACATTACCGAAAACAATTGTTAATGTAGCCACATCCAGAAGTCAATGAAACTGAGCTAGGGTTAATGGCCCAATTAAAATACAGTTATCTTGAAAGGTTTTCTGAAAATGGAGAGCACGTTAAGGACCTCGGAAGGCTCCTGACTGTAGGGGCCACTCCAGAGAAGGCCTGGCATCTTGTTCATGTCTCCATCATTTCAGATAAAAGTCCCTTAAACAGCCTTCCCAAGATAATCCCGCTGGACAAACAGATTCAACTCTGCCAAAACTCTCTTATTAAACAGATCAGCAATCTTAAGAAACAACATGTTCCACAGCTCTATTGTTTGCTTTTTTTTTTTTTAAAGGGGAAATGTCACTGTTTGATTTTATGGCTCATCTGCTTCTGAATCATGCACATGCACGCACATTTTTATTGCAAAATAAGAGAAGTGCCAAACAGCGAGAAAGAAATCAAAACGATAGCCAGAAGTGGGCGGTTTAAATCCCGTCCTCTTTTGGTATGTGTTACGTGTTTAAAAAACAAAAAGAAAAGAAGGTGGACATTCAATCATGCCATGTTGGCCCCCATGCTGACTTAAGGAGAAACTTCCTAACAGTGAGAACAATTCACCAGTGGAAGAGCCTCCAGGAATCATGGGCGCTCCATCTCTGGAGGTTTTGAAGAAGAGACTAGACAACCACTCATCTGAAATAGTATAGGTTCTCCTGCTTGAGCAGGGGGTTGGACTAGAAGACCTCCAAGTTCCCTTTCTATTCTATTCTATTCTATTCTATTCTATTCTATTCTATTCTATTCTATTCTATTCTATTCTATTCCATTCCATTCCATTCCATTCTCTATCCTATCCTATCCTATCCTACCCTACCCTACCCTACCCTACCCTACCCTACCCTACCCTACCCTACTCTATTCTATTCTATTCTATTCTATTCTATTCTATTCTATTCTACTCCACTCCACTCCACTCCACTCCATCCCACTCCACTCAATTCCATTCCATTCCATTTTTGACACACACATATCCAACAACTCTATTGCAACAATTGCATATTTGCAATCCTCACAGTTATTGTTACAAGTCAAGTCAATACTGGGCTTATTGCCCTAAAAAACCGGTTTATACTAGGTATGCACATTAATGCAGATTTCAGCTGGTTCCCCAATTATCTTGTACCTTATTTTTTTCAACACTTGCTGGGTGATCTATTGGGTACTTTGCTTCATATTTCTAGGCTAAGTTCTAAATAAGTCCCACACTTAAATGCATGAATCCATAAATTTAGTTTTATCATCGCTAGTCCATGTCATCAATTTTACCAAGGACTGTTCTCTATTTGAAAGATTGCCTGGTCCAGGTGTGGATTTATGATAAACCACCCTTGTTTTGTTCCTCTGATTTATTGGTAAACCACACAAATATTCTTGCAAAACTCCAACCGTTAGTCAACTAGCAATAAGAATAGTTCTAGCTTTAGCCTGGGATGAAGCTCATATATGGCTTCATATATAGCTGCAGACTGATTAAAAAAAAAAGGTGCTCATAAAATATTTATCCTCTTGTAAAAATTTGAACTCTAGTACTGCAATGTCGGTACCTGTTCTGCATTTTATGATTTCCCCAATAACATTTTTCTGTATCTTTTTTGAATTGCAAATTGCATCTTAACAGGTGATCAAACTGCGCCATAACATAAGAGAAGGACTAGGCATGACATGATAGCATTCTTCCAATATTTGAGGGGCTGCCCCAAAGAAGAGGGAGTCAAGCTATTCTCCAAAGCACCTGAAAATGGCAAGGCAAGAAGCAATGGGTGGAAACTCCTCAAGGAGAGAAGCAACGTAGAACTAAGGAGGAATTTCCTGACGGTGAGAACAGTTAACCAGTGGAACTGCCTGACTCCAGATGTTGTGGGTGCTCCATCACTGGAGGTTTTTAAGAAGACACTGGGCAACCACTTGTCTGGAATGGTTTAGGGCATGGGTGTCAAACTTGACGTGTCATGTTGCCATCCTGTGACACATCGCAACATTTTTTTCCTCTTCATGGAGCTGGGGTGGGTGTGGCCTGAGTGTAATGTGTCCGGCCTGTGGGCCGCCAGTTTGAGGCGCCTGGATAGGGGCCTCCTGCCTAAGTAGAGGTTAGAATAGAAGACCTCCAAGGCCCCTTCCATCTCTGTTATTATGTATTCAGGAAACAAAACAGAACAACCTATAATTGCGTTCCTCTTATCTCCAGCTTGATGCCTTCCAGCTATAGGTCTGTGAACCCTGGGAGATGTAATTCCAATATATAAATGCAGTATCTGCTTGAGGGAAGCTGATGTATAGATTGGGTAATATGGATTGAGTACATCTGCACTGAAACGCGAATAGAACAAATTTCTCTCCCCATCCTTGCCTTCAAGTAGCTTAGGAAATATATTGTTTCATTTCTATCTCCATGCTCAAGCCCATTTTTAAAATTTATATTCAACACAGTCTTGGAAGCCCTACAGAACTGGAACCATTTTTCTTTTTTTTCTCTCCATTCCAGCTACTTCAGTCTCCCCGCTCCCGACCCCCAGATGAATTAAAGCACAACAATATTTTGAGGCAGAGTCATTTATCCATTAGCAAACATAAATATTTCTGAGCCCTCCAAATGACTGACCACATGCCAAGGCCACAGTGGGGAGATACATTTCATCCTTCAACTGGCAACCCTTCCCCATGCTTACCTTGGCATGATGTTTTGAAACTCTGTGGGGACAATTTGGAATTAAGTTTTATTCCTTTCGCTTAAAGAGTTTTGATCAGCTTCTCGACTTAAAAGCAATCCACAGCAGCTTAAAAAGTAACAACACAATCAAAACAGTCCGATAAAAATCATTCACTCAGAAAAAGTGCAAGATTTTGCACATAGAAAACGGCTTCCATTCTCTGCAGTCTTAAGGGTATTATTTGAATGAAGTTCTCTCCAGCCCGAAGATTTAATCCTATACTCAAAAGAGAAGGTGGGTGGAATCAGGACTCGGTCCCCGAAGGCACTGTTGTGTTTGCAAAATCTTCCCGTCCTCTTTGCCAAATTCTATCCAGTCCCTTAGTGATTGCTTCCAACATGAAATAAATGCTGGAATGTAAAATGCTGCCTCTGAATGGACCGGGATCTGGAAAATGGACTATTCAAAACACACCAAAATGGATGAATCACACAAGTAAGTTCCTCTAAAGAGGCAGCTTTCTTTTTCCCTTGCTTTCGGTGCAGTGTCATGTTTGAATATGACACACCATTTCTTTATATTAGAAAGATAATATAAAGGAGCTTGTACTACAGCCAGTATGGTTCAAGGCTGCATAAACGGAGGGATAGAATGAAGTTTACATCAAGTGTTAGTACTACTTGATGATGCCTTGGTAAGACCACTCTTGGAATATTGCATGCAGTTTTGCTTGCCACGATGTAAAAAAGATGTGGAGACTCTAGAAAGAGTGCAGAGAAGAGCAACCAAGAGGATGAGAGGACTGGAGGCTAAACATAGGAAGGACAGTGGCTGGAATTGGGTATGTCTAATTTAATGAAAAGAAGGACTAGGGGTGACATGATAGCAGTGTTCCAATATCTTAGGGGCTTCCACAGAGAAGAGGGAGTCAAGCTATTCTCCAAAGCACCTGAAGGCAGGACAAGAAGTAAGGGATGGAAACTAACCAATGAGAGAAGCAACCTAGGATAAATTTCCTGACAGTTAGAACAATTAATCAGTGGAACAACTTGCTTCCAGAAGTTGTGAATGCTCCAACAATGGAAGTTTTTAAAAAGAGATTGCATAACCTGATTGCATAGTCTGAAATCGATTGCATAGCCTGAAATAGTATATGGTTTCCTGCCTGAGCAGGGGGTTGGACTAGAAGACCTCTAAAGTCCCTTTCAAGTTCAACTCTCCTATTTCTATTCTATTCTATTCTATTCTATTCTATTCTATTCTATTCCTACTCTACTCCACTCCACTCCACTCCATTCCATACAAGTTTCTTTAACCCTTGCAATTAGCAGCTGAGAAATTAACAGTCTTTAACATGAGATTTACTGAGAACCCAGAGACGGTTTTACAAAACCAATGGTTTGCACCTTATTCAACTTACAAGTGACTGCGAAAGATTGCCATCGTGCCAGTACATATCCTAAGAGCTCTGTAGTAAAATATTTAAGAGTGCGAAATGGTCTGTGTCAAAGGGTGTCAAAAGACTCTA